AGAGCATCAATATCAATTCCAACATGTCGCTCCTGCCATCACAGTTTTTAAGGCTAAGGTCACTTGAACGAAACTTGCTGAACCATCGTTGACACTTACGAACGTTCAGAATATTTCCATAAAATTCTTTGATATTCTTTGTGGCTACAGAGGCGTTGTTTCGAGACACACATTCGGCATGTAATGCTGTTTGAATACAAGAAGGGTCCCTTATAGTGATAGCACATGGGTAGAGTATACTAAACTTTACACATTATATAGGCTACACTAACGTGACGTTTAGGCGGTTCGTTTAACTATTATACGTGATGTACATTTTTTTGGGGGGGTAATGAAAAGTGTTCCAAAATGCAACATTAATTTCTTGACAACCTAATATAAGCATCTTGTATATCCATCTTCTTCATTCAATGGCTGTGACAAAGAAACTTATATAACAGCGTAATGAGGTATTCACAGGAAATATTGAGTTGATAAAGATCTGTGACAAGTCTTCAATCTCTGATTTCTTCCAAACCACACAAAGATGGAAGTAAAAACATGGAGATGTTTGATAAACGATTTCAACTGCACCTTTCTGAATAAATTATGAAACTTCCCAATGAAGTTAGTTAGCAACTGGATTGGAATGAAGAAGAAAATACATTAAGGCCAGACTGAAGTATATGTTCAACCCAGTGACCTCAAATCCAATTGAACCAAAGCTTTGAGAAAACCTTCCAATAATCCAGATGAAGATCCTTTCAAAACAGAAGGGAATCACTGACTGGATCAAGAAGATCCAATTCAATTACTTCTACTTTTGGCCACTCGGTAGATTAAAAAAAGAAAAAAAATGAAGTAGCTGATGCCAACTAAGAAGTAAACAGAGGAAAATAGACATTACTTTCTAGCTGTTTCGAAGAGGAACAACTACCAAAAATAAGATGACACACTAAAACCTTAATAAGCTCCTACTGGTGTGCCTTTTGTGAATAGAAACCAGTAAAGCTGAATTAAAAATGGTGGGAAATAGATCCCTGTGACACCGCACAACAGACTAAGGTGTCAAAGAAACATAAGAGCCACATGGGAATAACAACTATACCGGGAAGACTCCAATGTAAAAATTTGACACTGGCTAAAGGAATCAAAATAAAAAGTTAATTTGCTCAGGCTTACTTGTCTTTATTGTCTGTAGAGTAGAATTTGTCAACTAGTCCTAATTCCAAACAAGTTTCTGCTACTCTGTTTTTTTTTTTACTTGGGTATATTCTGTATATTCTTGAACTAATTTCTGTTATGCCTGAAAATGCTAGTTTCACATTGAACAATTCTTGATACTTTATAAATCAGCAAATTCTTAATAGCATTTTAGTGTGTAGTATACCTATACTGTTTTTATGTATTAAGCTCTTAATCTCAGGTAGGTTATTGGGAGGACTTTTTATGTGGTCTTCTACTTTGACTCATTGACAGCTTTTTTTCATGCATGCTTTGACTTGTCTCATTTCAGGATTTTCTTCTTGAGTGAAATTAATAGTTATCAGCTTCCCTTGTTCTTCTATTATCATTATTTTTTTTATCAATATGATAAAATGGAGAGTGTTCTACAACTGAGCATCTACATTTGAAGGACACAACCAGACAATACAAAATTAACACCAGAATATGTTGACCAATGAGGATCAACAATAAAGCCATGGCATCTCCTTACATGCTGGAAGCATCCACAAAGTTATAAAATGAATTTATAGTGAGTGAAGTTAATGGCACAGTTGTACACAAGAAAATCTGAATTATGGCAGGAAAACAGAGCTTATATATGTTCTCTTTATGTACATGAAAAGTGGGAGAGTGAAATACTCTGGGTTACAATCAGAACCCAAAGTCACATGAATGGTGACAGCATGTAAACAGACTCAACAAAGGAAGGCTTTTAGTACTTCAGAGCTAAGTCTACCAAATTTGAATAAAACTTACCAAAATCTACACCTTCAGAAACTTTTCCTCGAGCCACAGAGAGCATTACAGCTCCCCTACCATTATTACATGCCTGAAAAAAAAGTGTTCATACTATGAGTTATCATCACAACCATTAAAACAGTAGAGGAAGATAAACATGTGTAGTAAATATGATAGATCAGGACTTTTCCAAGACCATTATTAAGCAGTTTTACAACAACTTTTTAACTTATCAGTAATTAAATTAAACACTTCATACATAACTCTTAGTTCTGTCTTGTCACTCCATTGTTAAGGTAATAAACAGAAATATACCACAGCATGAAGTTCCACACTTTATTTGAACTGTTAATAATAATTGTTTTTTGCCAATGCAGCATATCTTACAAAGACCCTTTTGTGAAACCATCATGACTTGTGTGTATTAAAGGTACTATAAAATATGCACATTAACCCATACAATTGTTAATAACAAACAAAAAATGAGTTCATTCTCATTCTACAATATTTAAAATATCAGCAGGTGACATTAGATTAACAATTCATAGTGCCTTAATAAATTAGAATAAATAATGTATATTTTAGAATTTATTTTTAAAGAAAAACAAATAAACAATAGCAGTTCTTGTTATAACTAAAAACAATCAAGCAATGGTTAGAATGACCAGTAAAGAAGATTAGCTTCAGGGCAAAGGTTTGAACTACCGACATTGACCGATTACTGTCCAACATTGCTAATAGGAACTTGATTCTAATGAGCTAAAAGCTTGCAAAACCTAGCTTGGCAGTTGATGATATCCTTAGTAGTTATGAGTTGAAAAAAAATCTGTTAATTTTGCAGCTTCAAAACTTTTGCCAGGGCTCTATCCAGCAGATTCTACAATTGATTCACTAGTGTTCGATACATTTCCTTTTTCTGATTTTTATATGCTCTTGCAAAAAACAAGAGAATAAAATCTACAAAATCCTTTTATATTCCTCTTAATAAAATAGTCAAAAAAGGAACATATATTCAACTCAAACAAGTTTTGACTACCACGAGAAAAAATATCATATTACATAAATAAGTACAAACACTAGGGTGACCAGATGTCCTGGTTTTCCCAGGACAGTCCTGTTTTTTTGGTAGTTTGTCCCATTGTCCTGAGAAAAGATCTTGGGATGCACAAAAAGTCCCAGTTTTATGATAAATTCATCAAACTGTCAGTCACATCAAATCACAAATATAACAGGCCTACTTGACTTGCTCATTCTTGTAACATGTACTCTCCTTCTGCTGCTAAACTCTCCCCAAAGTTCTACCTGTGCATGATGAGAAACCCAAATCTACACAGATTTCTTGGTTAGTAGTTTCTTTAAATGGTGAATGTGTGGTGAAACATCAAAAACTGTTCTCTAAGATATTTTTATTATTGAAAATGTTTAACTTATCATAGTGTCAAAATGCTAAAAAGAAAGTGTGTTTTTTCAAATACTTTCAATGCAGATTCTCCCCTCTTTTTTTAAAGGTAAATGAGTTGGATAACAAAGTTGGGTTCACTATTTGCAACACTGTTTTCAACAACACATGATGGCAAGTTGGACATTATGCATCACACTGCCAAGAAAAAGCACAAGAACCATTTTAAAACTATGGGCAAGGGCTAGGCTGTCCCAGTTTTTGGTTGGGAAATCTGGTCACCCTAACAAACACTGACTACTCTACTTGAATTAGACAGTTCATGAAAATGTTGAATCTGACTACAATTTGAAAATTGATGCCAAATTAACTGTATTTTTTGTTTCAAGTTAAATATCAAAATTAAGTTTACTTTTCCAAAAATGATTCAATTTTCTATATGTGTACTCATCAATTCAACTTCAGCTAATAAAGATTCAATCAGAGCAGGTGAAATGCCAATAAATATTTGAAACTCCAATTCTTATTCATCCATTATTCCTTCACAGCCACTATGATTTTTATTTCTTCTAGTTCTACAGCACCAAAAATAAAATTTAAGGGCCTTTGCAGGCTCAGAAGAGCAAAAGTTAATATTTTCCTACACTGAAAATACATTTCCAATTGATACTTTCCTCCTCTCACAGAATAGCTTTTTTTGTTCAGTACTGCCCTCTGTATGTGCAAAGATTTTGCTCACCACTAGCCTTGAAACTTCCACCTAGCCCACATTTTTATGTGGTTCAGCTGTATTGTAGCATGCAAATAAACATGTGACAACACCCTCCACTAATAGGAGCATGACACACTCTCCTGTCAGAGCTGGCTCTCTCTACACTGTAGAACCCAATCTTCAATTTGAGATTAGGCAGAAAAGAAGCACCAGAAGTGAGGAAGAAGGGTGGAAAGTATGAGAGGAGGTAAGTATCTATCAGAAATATATTTCCAGTGTAGGCAAATATTAACTTTTGATACAATATCTTACCTCTTCTCACATAATAGCTAGAATTCCACACTGACATGGTGGAGGATCTAGTGTAAAATTTTACCTAGAAGAGCACCCTTCAAAAATCATCTAAAGAATGCCCATTGAGTGTGAATACTTTGGGTAGAGAAATAAACTTGTAGGAGATGGTACCACACTTGAACTAGGTATATTCTCGCCCTCAATAAATGAATATGTTGCTAAATGGGCAGTAAAGAGGCATATACGAAAATTAACTGTACATGCCCCAGGTATAGAGTGGACAGGGCATGACAGACAGTAGTCAGGAGGTCAAATCCAGTCCAAAACCAGTGGAACTGGGAATGGATCATTCCATCCACAGTAGGAAAGTCCCCAACCATCTTTATCCATACTGTGAACAGAAGGTTAACTCCACTCCAAAGCCAATGTATCCAAGAATAGGTCACCCTATCCACAGTAGGAGGGTCCTCGACAAACTGTAGCTGGACATGCCCATGGCTAGGGTGTTTGGACTGTAATCAGAAGGTCAACTCGAGTCCAAAACCAGAGGTACTGGGAATGGACCATCCAGACCACAGTAGGAGGAGGGTCCTCAACCATCTTCACCTCAGACTCAGGAACCAGAATGGAAAAAGGGTGCCAAGCCAGAGAGGTTAACTGCATTTTGGTTCAAATCATCCAGTCCATAAATAGGTGGCATATGGAATAGTACATCAGGTCTGCAGTATGAGGCATATCTACACATTATCTACACTGGCAGAACACCACTGCTCTGCTCTCAATCGAGTGGAATTGAGCCCACTCTGGAAGAAGCCTTAATGGTCCACCACCCCAGTGGCTAGGAACTGATAGGTGGCAAGGTCTCCCATATTCCATAAGAAGAAGGGGGAGAACAGCACATTGGTGAGTCCAGAGAAACACAGAACCGGAGACACTTCAAGGAGTAGATGACGAGGAGGGTGAAGGATCCTTAAGAATTCCAACAAAATAAGGAAAATGGTAGAAGAGGAAAACACCCTGCGATAACTAGAAAAACAGAAGGTAGTGGAGAAGACTGATCAATACTCAGCAATGGTAGATATGAAAGAACCAAAGTAGAACAGCCTAGTAAAAAAATTGGAGACATGAGGGATCATTGGACAGGAAGGAGAGTAATCAAGGCATAGAGAACAAAGCCAAAAATACACCATTTTCTCTGAAATATCTTAAGAAAAGAAGGATGCATCAGAGTATACTCTATTCCAGTATACATGACTCTAATTTTGGAGTCTAAAAATGGAGAAACGTGTCATAAAGATATGAAAAAAAGGTAACACACCTGTGTCCCCATATCCAAGAAGGCTAATGACAGCCTTAGGGTATCGACAAGGAAGGATGTGAAAAAAATTACCCAAATTGTCTTAATCTAGCCCAGACTCACCAGACAAAGAAATGTCAGGTCTTGACTTGGAAGAAACAGCTGGCTGCAATATGGACCCCAACTCCCACGAAAAACCGTGACCTCCACAGTCGAAAGTATAAGGCCTGTAGCCTGGGACACAGCAGGTTAAAATGTAACATTCATCACTACTGTAGTAATGTTAGTGAAAAAAATTCAGAATTCATGTTCAATTGGAAATTTATAAACTACTGTGAGATTATCACTGCATAAAATGAAGCAAAAAACAACTAAGTTGTTTAATAAACAGCACAAAAAAATGATAATCGTAAATTGAAATAAAAGCACAAGCAAAAAGTAACACATCTTAACACTACCATGCCAAATCGAGAAGTGAAGATTGGGTTCTACATTATATAGGGAGCTAGCAGCAACAAGAGAATGGGTCATGGTCCTATTGGTGAAGGGTTGCCACATGCTTATTTCCATCCTACAATGCAATTGAACCACATAGGTTGGTTTTAAAGCTAGTGGCAAGCTAAAAAATTGGCCCATATAGAGGGCAGCACTGAATAAAAAAGTTATTCTGTAAGCAGAGGTAAGATATCATATTGGAATTATGTTTTCCCAGACCAATGGGAGCCATGTATTTAAGACTAACTGAAAAAAAAAAGTGTATATTCATGAAAGTTTGGAACAGTAAAAAAAATGTTAGGCAATAATATTTTAGAAACAAGTTTGTTGTAATTCCATGAACTTACTGCTGTCCCACTATGCAACTTAAAAACAAGTACATTTAAGTCAATTTTAAAACAATTCCAGATACAATAAGTGTAAATCTTCTATAATTAAACTAACACACACACACACATATATATATATATATATATATATACATACATACATACATATCAAAAATGATTTGAAATTTTATGATGTAAAATCTATAGTTTTTCTATGTGTTTGTGTGTGTGAATATGTAACACTATTAAAAGGTTAAAAAATCACACTGATTATGACTATTTTTTTAAATATCCTTCTTTTAAAGGCACATATTTCAGTTTCTATTCTTTATTAACAATTAATTACTTGCTCAGCTAACAAAAAGTATGTTGGTAGGAGATGACAGTAAAACAATTATGGCACAAAATCATTTACTTAAAAAGATTTATGTTGTAATATAAATAAAAATGTTTAAAATATGAGATTTTTCATAAGAGGAAACATCTGGTACATTTTGTTTAACTTCATGTATGATAAAAGAACAAATTTTTAAATTATTATGAATAATTACTTTATTTCTAGGAGATTACAAACCTTGATGTAGTTTAATAAAGCTAGACTGGTTTCTGCAGCATCCTGAGTTTCCACAAACAGAAGTTTATGTTTCTGAATATTGTCTATCACTCCCTGTTTAATAATTGTAACAACAGTTTGATAACAAAATTTACATTTTGGAGAAACAATTAATTAGTCATGCTTTTGTTACTAATCAGAAGTAAAAAAAATAAATACTTCAAGAATCACTCTTGTAAAGTTACAAAAAAACAGCATAAAGAAATACAAGAAAAAAGAAACAATCCTTTCAATGATATTTTTCAATTTGTGAAACAAAGTGATTGAGTTTTTATTATTATTGTGTCATTAAATGTTCTAAACTCCAACTACAACTTTTAATGTATTCATAATTTCAACTATTGATAAGCATATACTCTCACCCATCAAATTAACTTACAATGGTTACTATAAATCAACATTTTAAAGCTACAATATGTACCTATTTACATACATATAAAATACTTTTCTTAAACCCACTACTGAGGACATGGTTTTATACATACTCTGGTGTATGACACTAATTAACAGTTGTACATTATAAAATAACAATGAAATAATGTGATTTCATTAAAATGGTTAAGGAAATTATATAATTTTGTCTAATAGATGTACTGCAGGTTTTAAACTCTATAGTTCACAAATAACTTGAATTAAAGTAAAATACATCCTTGATCTTCAAATGGAACTTTTTTTTATGATTTAAGTTTAAGTCTCTTTCCAAGTGAACAAAAATAATAAGCCAATGTCAAGCAAAATTTCTCTCTTTTTATTATTGTTCAGGTATTTCTTTTCACAACGAGTGTACTAAATGAGTAAATTTAGACACAGGAATATGGAGCCAAGTATCTCAATTTTAAGGGTTTTAAAATCATAACCAGTAAGAAACAGAGAAATATTTAAACACTGTCACATATGTTTTCCATGTCTCTCTTGTTATTCAAAAGTATTTTACATTACTATACTATAATGTAATGTTCAAGTCATTAGACTCATTGCTTTACAGAAAGGCAATGCCAAACTGACAAGACATAATTGCAAATTACTTCTGGCTTGTTATATTTTTTTTTAACTGGATATAAAGAAAAGTTACCAACAGATGTGTAATGATTCTTCGTAAGGACATACTAGTAAAAAAACTTTAAGGAAGCCAAAGAACTACACAACAAGATATTATTCACTACAAATTAAAATGCTCTTGACAAATTCATTATCTATATGGTATTTACCATGAAATAGTTACAAGTTACATTTAACATATCTTATGCAATAGAGAGCCACCAATGTGGCTCTACTTTTTTTCACATTATAAGAAAAAAATCAGAAAATACACTAAATAAAATGTTTGTGTCATTACAGGAACCCAGCATATTTTCAACTTAACCATAAATATAGGTAGATTATGCTTCTAATTTCTCTTGCTTCTATACAAATTGAGAATGTTAAGTTCGTTTGAAAAAGAAATCTGTATTTAACCATATTTAACCCTTTACAAACTGGAGGAGTACCACTGACATTCTGATTCGTCTTTTCTTTTCACAATGGAAATATTTAATCAAATTGCAAGCCTACTAAATAGCATCTAGTTTCTGCTTTAAAAAAAATCCATATGATTTGATTTATGAGTTGTATGTTTTTTAGGTGGTGAAAGTTCCAAAAATTTGTTGCTACACGTTGTTTTGAAAAAACATTAAAAAACTTAATTTTAAAGAATTTTAATGTTTTTTATTACTGACTAAAAAACTCCAGTTTATATATCTGGTCAGTTTCAATTAGTCAGATATTCGTTAACATATTTATTTTGATACTTTATTTTGCCAACTAATGTAGTCTCCATTTCTAGTTATAAATCATTAAAAAATGTGCAAACACTGATAGATTGTTTTAGTAATCAAGGACTTGAAATTTCAGGCTAGTTATCTATATTTTTGTAATGATATTCTTGATTGAGATTAATTTGTCTTAAAAATATAGTATGTTTTCAATAGATAATGTCTTTTTTTATTTGTGTGTGTTGTTTGATTATGATAAACTTTACAATATTCAATTCATATGAGGTGAGTCATATGAAGAGTTTGCTATCATTTAATGTGTTATAACCCTAATTAAATTTATCTAATGTCTTGTTATGGAAGAAAATTACTGTATTTTTCATACAGACACAATCTGAAATAGAAAAATTTTCAGAGATGAAAACAGGTCAAAACAAAAAAATTTCGAAAAAATTCCCAGATCTGATTCTAAGTGTTGTAAGCTCTGCTACAATCCATTGTTCACCTAATTCAGAAAATCAGGTAGCCAATACTTTAACAAACCACAAATGTATATTACAATTATATTATTTATACTATGTTGACATAGATTTAACAGAACCTCTTCTTTCCAATCATTTTAAGCCATTGATTCAAGCTATTTCCTATGTAGAGCTTCATTAGTAATTGTTCTACTACAAGACCTGATATCATAAAAGGTTGGCAATGAAGAACTATAGTAATTAAGACATTGAAAGAGAAGGAAAATCAGATGAAAAACAAGACAGGAATCACTATATTTTTAAGGGCTGGTAATGTCTTACCCTATAATTGTATACTGTAGGATGAAGAGCAAAATTCTAAAACAATTTGGTAAATATATTATTTATAGGTAAGACTCTTCAGAGCCATAAAGAAACTAAAGTTGGAACATTATTTAGTAAAACATTGTTGAAAGTCAGAGTTATGTTGTTTAATGTTAAGGTTATGTAGACTTGTCAGGTAGTAACAACTCAGGATGAGTTTACTGGAGAAAACTGGGGAAGTATAATTAAACATATATTGAACAGTTTCATTAGAAATACTTTGGAATATCATTTTTTGAAACATTATGCACTATTTTTTTTTCTTCTTAACCACAATACCTTTTCTAGTTTTTGAAAAGGACACCAAATTCATCAGTATATTACTTACTTGTTCATACCAAGAAGCAACAACAGCTTCCATGTAGAAGTAACTGGTGAAAAAACAAACAATGCCATCAGGTACAATCGTAGCCATTTCAACCAGAAGATTACCATAGTTGCGTATTACGGCTGGAAAACAGTTCACAACTACATTACTGACAGTTCACACTAATTAAAAATGCATTATACAATAAAAAAGATACAAATTATAATTGCACAATACTAATAGGTATAAATGTGGATAAATTCTATCACACACAAATGAAATACACAGTAAAACTACATTAAACTCAACTAAAACAGACTGCAGCATGCAAATTAAAACTACATTAAACACAACTAAAACAGACTGCAGCACGCAAATTAAAACTACATTACATGGAGATAAATGGTAGATTACAGCTACATAACAATTAAAGCAGAAACATTTATACGAGAAAATCACAACGTTTTACACACAGCTAAAAGGCAGATCACAACATCATTATTTACAATGATTATTTACAACCTGTATTTAACCTACATCATTAAGAGAGCATGTTTGAAGCTGCATGCAAATTAGTTTCAGCACCCAGTTCTCAAAACATAGACTAGTTCTTCTGAATGATGACAAAAGGTATTTCAAGTAAAAACAAATAATAATGATAAATAATTGTTATCAGAATAAATAAATGATATTTTAATTTCGAATTCGATGACAAGATCCCACTTAGAGACTAATAATGCTTGGAGATGGCTTGAATGGGTAATGAAGTTTAACAAAACAGTAAATGTACAACGTTTCGACAAGGTTTTGTCATCATCAGGTATTTGATATTGTGTCATTAATGTCTCCATAATTTCAATGAGAAAATATAAAAAAATATAAAAATTACACTTGAGTTCACATCATAATGGTTGTTTCATGCAATTTCATCATAAAAACAGTCTCATCCCTTACTGTATCTGTATTGCCTCAGCCACCCTAATGATCCCTGCTATTTAACAGAAGGCCTCATCGGCATTAGATATAGCAGATATAGTGTGGTTGACATATTGTCATACATTATTCTTTACTTTCACTAAATTCTCACCAATATCATCTCTAGTTTCAAATTTGGAAGTCATAGCCACTTGGTCATTTCCTTTACTTACAATCTGTAAAACACAAGCAGCAGATGTAGCAAAAATGTAGATACTCCTTTACTACATTATAAAACTACTAATCAACTAAACCACAGACTATAAATGAATATATTCAGTAAAAAAAATACTAAAGAAATGTATCAAAGTAATTATGACAGCAAACTTCATAATGTAAATGTAGGACTTCAAATATAATGATTAATTCATTCTGGCTACACATTGATACAAGTTTTAAGCTTACTTTTAGTTTTTCACTGAATATACTTTTATCATATCATATAAATATTTATAATGAAAGATATAAGCAGACCCAAACACACTGTAGATGACCATTAAGGATACAGATCAATTTCAAAAATGAAATTATACACTAAAACATACCTAGCTTTTGTATAAAGAGAATTTCATTTTTTTTACATTACATATACTTTGGCTCCTAATTAAGAAACAACATATTTTTAAAAGTATTGAACCTTTTGAGTTGTTTTCTGTTTATTGACCCACAGTGTTATCTTTCTAAAAACAATTATAGTTCGTTCTGCAAGCTACATTTTTTAATCGATAAAATTTATTTATCATGCAGCATTTTTTTAGTACAATGAAAGATTTTAACTCAAGTATTATATCAAGAGAAATAAGTTCCCACATATTTGTTTTCTCAAGCTTTTCATACATACTTAATTCATGCATTACTAGACTTGCTATAAATGCATTTTCTTTTTATTTATAATATAAAATTTTATGTGGCAATGCTACAAAATTACTAGATTTCTTAATAAGTTATATTACATTAAGTCTTGACAAACTCCCTAGATTAGTTTTAAAAAACTGTTTCGTAAGCACATATAACAGTCTGACATTTTAAAAGTAATAAAGAACACATTTTAGCCTTAAACAGATGTCATACTACATTGACTTTGTTCTATATTTTTTATAAGAAACATAATACAAATAATAATGCTATAGCCTTTTTCAAGTCAAATTAGAGATAATTTTCAGTAGAGATGCTATGTTTAATAACAAAGAAGTTTCTTCATAATTGCAAGAAGAAAAACAGTATTTCTCATCATTTTACTTAAAAAAAAACACATATAAAGGTCTTTGTATCGACAAGAATACAGACTTAGTGCAGCATTGAAAATTATCTACTTTTAAAACCTACAAATATTGCTCATTAACATGATAAAAAACTGACCATTGAACAGATGCAAGGCCTTGCTAGGGTCATAGTAAAAGATGCTAATATGACAGGTCGAAAGTCAAGGATCTTGGGGTACATGTCTAATGGTGACAAAGTCTGAAGAGAAAAGAAGATAATTTATAAGAACTTACCAGATAGCCCACAAAAATATCATATAATGGTGTATAACATATGATAATTTCTAAATTTACTTTTATAAAACAACACCTACTATATTAAAATTGGGAAATTACATCAACCATACTGAGAAAATCTTATTTATCATTTACTAACAAACAATTTTTTAAAATGTAAATCTAATAAAATTTCCTAAAATCAGGTTTTGCACTTTACTGTCATAAAATTGTTAAATGGCTATATCATTTGATATTAAATTTTATTGGCTTAACCTCTTTCGCATCAGGTATGTAAAAGTGTGCATGTCACAGCCTTTTAGAGAGCTACATTCAAAATTTAAGTAAACTACTTTATTATCAAGATATATATATAAAGGTACTTAGTATCAAAATGTAGCTAATAATCCAAATTTTACTATTATATAAGTTTTATGTTCTTAGTTTTATAATAAAATATTCAATCTCCCTTGATATGAAAATTATGACATTTACTCTCTAGGGCTTCTCTCTTTTGTAATTTATTTACCACCCCTCCAGAAAAGTATGGAATTTAATATAAATTACTTATTATAATATAGTTATTACTCAGGCAAAGCATAATTTTTATATCTTTCAATCATATTTGGTTACAGATCCATAAACTAGGAAATCAGATCCCTCTTGCCATGCCCACCTGTCACATCCTCTCTTTCACAAATTGTCAATAGTTCTTTCTTACATTTAACAGTATATTATTTCTAACCAATAGAAAGCCAAGTTTTATTCTATCAGTTGATGTGTTACATTACATTATTTTCTGTTCAGAGAATTATCTATTTCTTTTCCAGCTTAAACTTTATTCCCATGGAAAACACGAGGACCTTAGCCAAATTTTTAACAGCTCTTATCGCATAGTTAGAAAGCCAGAAAAATTAACGTAGTTATAGGATATTGTTAACTTTTATGTGTTATAATTCTGTGTTATTAGGTGCAGTTTTTAATTAAATAAGCATTATTTAGTGTAGTAGTACCATTAGTATAAAAAAGTAAGTTTAAGTTTCATCAATAGTCACCAGCAAAGAAAAAGAAGACCCAGGTAAGTACTATATTTCTTGTTTTTCATGTGTATTTTTTATTCATTATCATAAAATTAATTAAATGGTAAAAATTAGAAACTTGTTAGGTTAGATAAAGTAATATAACGAATAATAATAATAAAAAGTCTTCATGAGGTATGCTCACAAGTAGCTCATGAGTTACATAAATGGATAGGGTAACATGAGTTACACATTTGCAAAGTGATTTACAACTTGTGTGACAGGGTTATTAGTTAGACATGGTTCAAAAGCCAATAAAAAAATAAAACATAGTAAAAACAGATGTATACTGTTACATGCTTTAAGCTATTTAGAATAAACAATAGTGGTCTCCTGTTACAATTTGCAGTCATTCCAGAAAGAAAAAAATTAACCAACCCTGTATACAGCTATAATATGGAAAATAACAGATAAAATATAAGGTTTTTCTGAAGAAAAAACATTTGATATTTACTTATAAGGTTTTAGGGATCATGCAAATTAAAGTTGAAAATTTTAATACATGAAGAAAAGCATTTTTAATCTTAACTTGAAAATCAGTTTGCACTCTGAGCAGTCAACACTCTGACACCATATAATTACGGACAAAGTTTTAGTAAAAATACTTAAATAAAAATTCTCATTCTTTTATCAACAACAGATCTTTAATGTTTACCGAAAGCTTGTCAAGTTTCATAAAAATAAATTAGGTACTTTCAAAGTCATAGTATGTATACCACCATGGTTACATGGTGGTTACAAGGTTGTGTAAAATACATGAGCCCATTGTGATAGGGTTAATTTATCAAGGAGCTGGCAATCTTTACTTCCAAAAAATTTAATGACTTCATATTTTTCATCTCAAAGTGTTCAAAAATATAGCTGAAACTTACCCCAGAAGTTATAATTACTGACTGAAATCTTTCAAAAACAGGTTTGATGGCAATGGAAGCATCCATACAGCTGAAGTGTAAAATGGGATTTGGAACTGTTGGCATTTTGTCATCAAAAGGTTCAATGATAACAATAAAACCTATAAATAAACTGAGTTGTAAGAACTGAAAAATGTTTTTCTTAAACATTGAATAAAATCCAAAACTTCTATAAGAGATCAGATGTAAAAACTGTGAAAGGTTTCTGTTCAACACTACATACAATTCCACCACTTATATAAAACAAACTTTCTCCAATTGTTAAAACTCTGAGATTTCTGTTAATAAACAATCTGTTGTACAAAACAAGCTGAACTCTTGTGCTGTGAGCAGCTTTGTTAAATAAGAATATTTTTACTTATTATGTAAATAATGTGCAAAATGGAAAAAAAAGTGATTGGCTTTTTATCAAATTTGAAATAGCTGGCACAGAACTGCTTCACTGTGTCTATATCTGTGGTAGCCAAACACTGGAAATGAAGGACTAGCTTAGTAATTTGTATTATCTTACTTTTGGTTATGATTTTATATATATAATCAAGTAACACCCATCTTAACTAATACTACAAGTTAACACACCAATAAATGTCATAACATTTTAGCAATATATTATGATCCATAAAAGTAAAAACTTAAAATTAATTTGTGGATATTTGCAATGTGTTGACCAGTGTTACATAATTCACATGACCACAAAGTGGTATTCCCAAATTAAAATTTTTGAAAAGTCACCAGCAGGGTCTAAAAAAAAGTAATGAGGATGAAGCACGAACATAACAGGCTTTACATGATGAATTACATGATCCAGATTTAAAAAAAACACTTCAAGTTTAGTTGTCAAGTTCACATTGTAGGATAAAGTAGACTTTGACACCTTAAATTGATTAAGAACTTCATATTACTAGAATATACAGACTTTGGCAGCTTAACGTAGATAATGACACTGCAATTTATTAAGAAGTCAACATAACAAAACATAATATATGGTCCCAGGTAAAAAGTGTTCAGTTTTTGACTAGTACTGACCATTATTTATTGCTTTGAAAATAGTAATTTTCTGTCAAAACATGTCCAAAAAATAGTACGTGTCATTAAAGTAGGATACAAAGGTCGTAACTGGAAGAGATAATTGTTTGCTTTACTTCTTTATGTAATGTTCTATGTTTTAGGAAAAATAACTTGAAGAACTTGTTTCAAAATAGCAAAGAATTAAACATGTTAATTCAACTATGAAATCTTAAATTGGCGATACTTATTACATTTCTATAAAACTGACTTAAACAATTTTGTTACCATAAGAGGGATAGGATATACAACATTTTACACAATCCACCCTAACAACATCTAATAACCAATAAAAACCCATTAAAAGGTTCCAAAGGAGTAATATAGAGTAGCTAAGCATATTGGATAAATTATTATGATACATATACTGTTTAATTACAGATTCAGGTACGAAGACGATACAGATAATGCAGCAAATGTAATGTTTATGACGATAAGTAATGGCAAATAATATATTAAAAGAAAGCAAAATCGTACTAAATAGTTAAAAAGGTAATT